CTGGCATTGATTCAAGTAAAACCTAATAGCACACAATTATCCATTGAGTGGATTTGGTTTAAAGTTGCCCTAGATGTATTATGTAATTACTGTTGGTGTGGTGCTATGACTGGCAGTATCATATTTTAAAGTCCTGTTCTTTTGCTGCCTGCAATATCAGAATCAGATGCAGTTAATCTATTTAAATGATAAAAAAAAATCATATTTTTAATATACAGTACTGATGAGGGACTGAAGTTCTGAAAATGAGCACTTAGTCACAAAGAAGTATATAAGGTATTAGAGTAATTGCTGGGATCTGTTAATTTAACATTTTCTAAAAGACAGAATAAAGATGTCTTGCTTTAACAGTTGCAGCAACTAATTACCTTCAACAAGGCATTAAGAGTGGAAGTAATCACATCTAATGATGTCCAACACTCAAAGTGTGAAACCAACTTTTATCACATGTGGAAGGACAGGACAAACACTCACAAACATCATAAACAGGACAAACATTCAAATTGGAAAATAAACTTCTTTCTGAGCCTGTGTATATTATATAAGAGCTGGAAAACCTTTGCAGAGCATCTGTCCTACAGGGCAGACACAACACATGTTGCTGTATTTATACTGAGGCTCAATTATTGTATTAATGTATGATTATGTATTATGTACTTATATTGAGGCTCTTCTAATGAAGCATTTCCCACAACAATTGTGCCCATTTAAAAATAGTTCTTAATTTCTCTCTTGAGGTTTTTTCTTCTAGATTTATATAAGCAGAAACAAGCTTTCCTGTGTGTTGGGTCAGTTTTACAACCATGTTTTTGTCTTTCAGTTAATATAAATGCAATTTTGAGGTGAATAAATGTATTGAAAAATAAGAAACATTAGCTTTCATTTATTGCACATTTTGCCTTAGTCGTGTAATTGGAAATGCTGACACAATACTGTACTTTCCATTGCATACCAATAACCTCTTCACTGCATTTCAGAGGAAAGAGTGACATCTAGTGAGATTTTAATATTCTGCAAGTCTAAAACAAAGTGAAAAATTGTATTGAGACAGAAACTAATCTCTTACGCATATAAATCACTTTAAATATCCGAAGACATGGGTAAAGGTTCAATCGGAACAATCGAGCAAGTAAAAATTCATGCAATCAAGCACCTGAACTGCAGCAGGCAACTAACTCACTTGTATTCAAAACCTAGTGTACAGGCCTGGAGCTCCTTCTATGTGAAGTCTGCATGTTCTCCCCAAGCCCAGTGTTGGTACCTCCAGGTACTCTGGTTTCCTCCTACATACCAAAGACATGCTGTGCAGACCAAACATACAGTACCTAGTAATGCGCAATCCCCATTCCCCTCAAATATAAATATATTAAAATAAAATCTGTAAAAAAAAGGCAAGCGCTTTAGTCATGCACAAATCCTGAGGATAATGACAGAATTTGTTTTATATCTCCAATGTATGGAAAAAATGATGTGCTATGGAGGACTATGTGTCTTAAGGACTAGACCTCACATTTGAATTGATTTATCAAGGCCTAGCAACACACCCCTCTCATGCGGGAAGAACATCATTCTAGAGAGCACACAGGTTGTTATTGTTGGTCATGTCACAGCAGCACTGGTCAGTCTGAGAGTGGACTGGTTGCCTGTTGTGCTCAAAGGATGGTTTAGGCCTTGTGTGGGTCCAGCTCACCTCTGTGCCATAGGCTATGGATTTACAGAGCCTTGTCTGCCACACAGGCTGTGGCATCACTTGGCTCAAGAAATTAACTGGGTCCTTACGCTCTGAGAACCTCACACAAGCCCTGCAGGTCATACAAGGACCATTTCTTTTCCTCGGCCTCTCCCCTGTCCTGAGGCCCGCCGCAGGCTTTGAGGCAGGCCTTGTTTTTCTGGGCTCAGAGGGCCCCTTCTTGACTGGAAAGGTGCCCACGTTCAGGTCCGAATGGGAGGAGGTGCTGTCAATAAGGCGGACTCCCAGGGCCAGCGTTCTCAACGGCAGCGCCAAGCGAAGGCGGGTCCAGAACCGGGAGCGAGGATGGCCGGACTTCTCCCCTTTCCACTTGATGACTGTCGTCTGTTTTAGCTGAAGGATTTCGCTGGAGGGGAAGCTAACAGGCTTGTAGCGGATGGCGATTATCTTGGTGTCGGCTGTGTGCTGGCAGAGCAGTCCTAATCTGCACTCAAGGAGGCTGATGCTCTTTTCTGTCATATAATCTGGACTTAGAATCACAATAAGTCTGCGGCTTTTCTGTATAAACTTTAAAACATCTTCAGGTATATCTGAAATCCAGAAAGAAGACAAGCACTCATTTACAATAGGTACCCAGAAACCTACTGAGGTTTCCTTTACAACATATGTCACAATAAAAAACAAAAACATCTGGAGGCTGGATACTTATGGTTACATTTGAATAGACAGCTTTTCTTGAATTTATAATGTACAGTACACTCATCCTTCATTAAACACGCACTTCACTTACAGCACAAGAACTAAAACAAGCAATACATATACAGACCTCTTTTATTATACTAGTGATCTTCCCTCGCTAATATGAGCTCCAAGAGAATGGCTCCCTCTTCCATCATCATTCTCTCCCCTCGGTCGTTGTTGTCTTCACTATTTTATCAGAAACAGTAAGGCTATTTTACTAGTTACAGAGTTGAATAGGATTGTATAATTGTGAAGT